ATCATAACTATGCAGACGACACTCAGATCTATGTCTCACTGACTGCAGGAGAACATGGACCAGTGGACTCACTCCTTCACTGTATCCAACAGATCAGTGAGTGGATGCAAAACAACTTCCTTCAGCTAAACGCAGACAAAACTGAAATGATTGTCTTTGGTCCCCAGAAACAAAGAGAGAGCGTCATCTGTCACCTACAGTCTCTCTCCCTAAAACCTTCAAACAAGGTCAGAAATCTAGGGGTAATACTGGACTCAGACTTACATTTTAATAGCCACATCAAATCAGTAACATCAGCAGCTTTTTACCATCTAAAAAACATTGCCAGGATCAAAAACAGTGTCTAAAGCAGACTTGGAGATTCTTATCCATGCATTTGTCTCCAGTAGGTTAGACTACTGCAATGGCCTGCTCACAGGTCTGTCCAAACAGGCTGTAAAACAGCTGCAGTACATTCAAAATGCAGCAGCTCGAGTCCTGACTAGAACCAGGAAGTACGACCACATTAGTCCAGTTCTCAGGTCTCTGCACTGGCTTCCTGTGGCTCAGAGAATAGACTTTAAAACAGCTCTGCTTGTGTACAAGTCTCTCCATAGCCTCGCACCAAAATATATTAGTGACATGTTAGTCCCATATGAACCAGCCCGGACTCTGAGGAGCACAGGGACTGGACTCCTGTTAGTGCCCAGAGTCAGAACTAAACATGGGGAGGCTGCTTTTCAGATTCATGCTGCTAAAATCTGGAACAATCTTCCTGAAGATGTGAGACAGGCCTCCTCTCTGACAATGTTTAAAACCCGGTTAAAGACAGTTCTGTTTAACTGTGCATACAACTGAGGGATTTTATATTTTTATCTTTCTTTTTAATGTTCTGTGATAATTTATGATTTTAATGCTTTCTTGTTTTGTTCAGCACTTTGAATTGCCTTGTGTATGAATTGTGCTATATAAATAAACTTGCCTTGCCTTTATTCTGTACTTCCCTTCGCAGATTTGGCTTCAGGAGGTCAATGCAAGACCTCAGACGTCTATTCATGAACAGCATAGCTGGTGTTTGATTTGTTGTTGCATGAACAGAATTTCTGTAGACAAGGAGGAAGTTGTCCACTTTATGTTGTAGGGAGATGTCCTCATTTGCCATAGCTTTAAGTGACTTTTTGAATATCTGTACAAATCGCTCCACCAGCCCATTTGTGGCGGGGTGGTGTGGTGCGGATCTGAAGTGCTTTATGCCATTTTTATTCATGAAAAGGTTGAACTCTTCTGAAGTATACTGTGGGCCATTGTCACTTACGATTTGTTCAGGCAGACCATTTCGGGAGAAAATGTTTCTCAAAACAGAAATAGTCTTTTCAGATGTTGTAGACTTCATTGGTATGACCTCTGGCCATTTTGAGTGAGCATCCACAGCGATAAGAAACATCGAGTTCAAGAATGGTCCTGCAAAATCAATATGCACTCTTTGCCAAGGTGAAGATGGCCATTCCCAGGGATGTACTGGGACCTGCGGAGGTGCATTTTGAGTGCTCTGACATCCTGTGCAGGTTTTGGTGATGTCTTCGATTTGTTTGTCAAGTCCTGGCCACCATACATAACTGCGAGCCAAGTTTTTCATTTTAACTGTGCCCAGGTGGCCCTCGTGAAGACTGTCCAAAACTTTTGTACGAAGTTTTTGCGGCACTACCACTCGTGATCCACACATCAGGGTTCCCTGGCAGACAGAGAGCTGGTCACGTCTCGCCGAAAACTCAGGAAAACTGGGAATCCCATGAGCAGGCCACCCTTGCATTGTGATGTCGTATATTTTTGATAGTGTCGAATCATTTCGTGTTTCTTTTTGTATCATAGTGTTTGTTACTGGTAACTGGTCCACAAGTGTTGTGTGGAACACTTCTGCTGGATCGCGCCCTGAAGACTTTTCTTCGGTTGTCGACAGAGGGAGGCGTGACAAACCATCTGCATTACAGTGCTGTTTAGTCCCTTTGAACTCAATGTCATACGAGTGAGCTCCTAAAAACAGCGCCCATCTTTGTAGTCTTGTTGCTGACATTACAGGAACTCCTTTTCTTGGATTAAAGATTGAGACAAGGGGCTGGTGGTCCGTCACTAACGTAAATCTTCGGCCATAAAGATAGTGGTGAAATTTCTTTATGCCCCATACCAGGCTGAGGGCCTCCCTGTCGATTTGGGCGTAATTGCGCTCTGCACTTGAAGCGAAAGCAATCGGCCGCTCTGATCCGTTGTCCATTGTGTGCGACAATACAGCTCCAATTCCATATGGAGAGGCATCACACGCTAGTCGGATGGGCCGTGATGGGTCATAGTGTGTTAGTAGATCATCAGATGTCATCAGTCTTTTTGTTTCAGCAAACGCCTTCTCACATTTTTCTGACCAAAGCCACTTAACGCATGTCTGTAATAGTGCATTCAATGGGTATAGAACTGAAGAAAGGTTTGGAAGAAACTTGTGATAATAATTTACCAGACCCAGATATGATCTTAGCTGTGAAACATTCTCTGGTTTAGGTGCTTTTAGCACAGCCTCGATTTTGTCCTGTGATTTTTGTAATCCATGCTTATCAATGACATGTCCACAATATGAGATTTGGTCTTTGAAAAACTCACATTTTTCTCTCTTTGCCCGTAGGCCATACTCCTTAAGCCTATTGAGTACCTTGCTCAGATCATCATCCTTTCTTGTCACAATGATGTCATCAAGGTAGCACTGTGTTTTTGGTATATCCTGCAGTACCTGATCCATCGCTCTTTGCCAAATAGCTGGTGCGGAAGCAACACCAAACACAAGACGATTGTACTGGTACAGTCCCTTATGTGTGTTAATGGTCAGAAACGTCCTACTTGACTCCTCCACTTCCATTTGGAGATATGCCTGTGACAAGTCAATCTTTGAAAACTTCTCCCCTCCAGCTAAAGATGAGAAGATGTCCTCAATCTGCACAGTGTGGAGCACAGGGTTAATGCTGACTATCTCCACATATGCGTACGTTTCCACTTTTCCCTTTCTTTATCACAGGCACAATGGGTGTAGCCCATTTACTCCAGTCCACTTTTGAGAGGATGCCAGATTCCTCATATGGGTCTCCCTCCCTGTGGGTTTCCCTTGTTCTCCCCAAGGTTTCTCACTTTTTCCCACTGGGTTTTTAAAGAGTTTTTCCTTGTCGATGCAGGAGGGTCTTGTTGGACAGTTAGTGTCCAACAGAAAGGATTGGTGATGATCAGGACACTTTAGCATTCTACAACATGTATGGACATTTTCTTCTGTGTGTGCTTTATATTCTCCATGTGTTAACTGTTGATTCTCTGACCTGTGTTGGTGATTTCAATGGTTTTGTTAAGTCCTCTGAGATGACTTCTGTTGTGACCTAGGGCTATACAAGAATAAATTGTATTGTATTGTATTGTATTCCTCTAAGTTCTGCAGTTCGGCATCCATCTTTGGTCGTAGGGCATATGGTACTGGACGTGCTTTGTGAAATCTTGGTGTGGACTCTTTGTCCAGTTCAATGTTTGCCTTTATGTGTTTAAGTTTACCAATGCCTTTCTCAAACACTTGTGCATTCTCCCTTAGAAGCTGGGAGAGTCTATGGTTGGAGCTGCATGTGGCGCTCTTTGAACCTGTTGATATGTTGAGAGCTTTAATTGAATGCCAATCAAGCTGAATTTTCCTCAACCACTCCCGTCCAAGAAGAGCTGGCCCTGCTGTCTTAAGCACATAGAGCTCCAACTGATGCGTTTTGTCACCATAGGTCACGTCCACTTTAAGTTTGCCTTTTGGTGACACTTTTTCACCAGTGTATGTTTTTAACATTACTGAAGTCTTTTCTAAAAGGTAGCTCAGAAAATAGTCTTTTGTAGTCGGTCTCGGAGATTACAGACAAAGCTGAGCCTGTATCTAGCTCCATTTTAAGTGTCACACCAGATACTGTTGTGGTTATCCATATGATTCTCCTGTCCATTTCAAAATACTATGTAATTCTAGGCATGACAGGTCATCTTCTTCACTGTTTGTGCTGTTTTCACACTCTGTTACCTTGTGCATTTGTTTTGCCTTGGATTTGAAACGTTTGTTCTTTTCAGGTTTCTCTCTTTGAAAGTCCTTTTGTCCTGCTTTGCATACTCTTTCTATGTGGCCCTGTTTGTGACATTTTCTGCAGGTCTTCTCTTTAAACCAGCAGTCATTTGCACTATGAGAGGTTTTGCCACATCTGTAGCATTTCTGATTTTTCTTATTGTTTAGGGACATTTTATGCATGTCATTCTCAGTGTTTTTCTGTAGCTCTGTAGCTCCTTTAGCTGCAGTTTCCATTGAGATGGCAATAGATAAAGCCTTGTCTAGCTCCAAGTCTTTTTCTGACAGTAGTCTGCTTGAACATTGCATGCCACATACTAATCTGTCCCTTAGAGCATCAGAAAGACCATCTTTGAAATCGCAGTTCAGCCATGTACTCAGATATGCTTTCATCCTTTAATTGATTCCTTTTATGAAATCTAAATCGTTCCGCTATTACGAGAGGTTTTGGGTTCAAGTGACTTCTCAAAATTGCGACTATCTCGTCAAACGTCTTGCGGGATGGTTTATCGGGGCTCACTAGGTTACGTAGCAGATAAGTCTTCGCACCCATCAAACTGAGAAGGACGGGAGCCTTTTTCTCCGTCTCCACGTTATTTGCAGTGCAGTATAACTCCACTCTTTCAATGTAAGCCTCCCAGTCTTCACTTGTACTGTCAAACTCATCCACTTTACCAACGAATGCCATATTTATCCACTTGATCCACTTGTTTAGCTTTTGGGAAGATTCACTTGCTGTGTGCTTTTACACGTCCCTTACTCACGCGTGTTATGCCAGCAGTCAGTCACTTTCCTCCCTAACGTGTCTCTCTTTCTTCCCTCTCCGGTTAACTTGTCACCTCCGGTTGTTGTTTCGGGTCCGTATTTCTCGTCGCCAATTTGTTGTGTCTTTTATATAACATAGTATGAAATGAACATGGAAGAAGACTCGGAGATGGGTTTCAGCTTGAACGTTAGTTTACTGAAGAATTACCGGTAACTGACGCTACAAGGTTACCATGACAACCTAAGGTAACAGTGCGCATATACATGACATGAGACCAATACAATGTATCAGTCCGCCAAAAGAAATAGTACCACCCATACACTACAAAAGCGATCGCGAAAAACCCGGAAGTAACCATTAACATGAAACGAACATTTTAGGAGACATTTGAAGAGGATCTGATGGATTTAGGTTCTGTATATAAATGTGTAACTCACCTCTGATGTTCAGAATTCTTTGTTCAGTTTTCATGTAGTTCTAAACTAAGCTAGCTAGCACGTCACGGTGAAACCTTTGGGAGCTAACTATTTTATTTGCAGTCATTAAATACATTTCGAATTATAAGGGCTGTCAAATATTTGTTTGAATATATATTTTTTATTTATTGTAGAATTATATTCGAATTTTGAGGCCGAACTTTATTCTATTCTGTTTCTTAGTCATTAATTAACATAGCAGAACACTGCCAAATTCTGCCAGCTTCAAGAATATCTAAAGATGTTGCCTTCACACAACTGTTTAAAGGACCACTTTAAAACTTGTCATTTGTTTAATCTTTCACATCTCTATAGACACAATTTAAGATTCAACCCAACTTTGAGCGTAATCCCTGGTGGCTACAAACTAATTATCATTTCCCACTCCACAACTGAAAAATTGAACTAGAAAGCGTATTTTAAATGTCCACAGTTAATTATGGAAGCCTGTGTTGTTGGCTGAGCAGAAAAATGTGACTTCCTTTGGCATAACGTCTGAGGCTTATGGTGCTTTAACAGTCGGAGAACCGCAGCAGCTATACAATACAAATGAGCTATTGTTGGCATGGACCTACATGGATATTTACAGCTCAGCCTAAAGAACCAATATTATGTCCCAAAAGATAGATATGTGGAGACTCAAGTGAATGAACACGATTCCCAAATATGGATGCTAGGGCTTTGACATTTGCACAAAAATCATATTCAAAGTTTGTTTGTTTATTAATTTAAATGTTCGAATATATTTGAATATTTAATCATAATTCATTATACAGCTCCTCACATTATCAGAAGAATGCTCTATTGGTTTGAATACAATTTCAAAACGCTCCATCAATCATTTGGCTTGATAATGGACCTCCCAAACCAATAATGACTGCTACCCATGGCAACGTAATCTGTGCTTGTAATTCAGGTGTGTAAAATACTTATACTACTCCGCAAGTAGACACTTAGTCACAACAGGCTTTCAACCGGCACCTTCTGTCTGTGTGAGAGAAGCTATCGAAGCTAGCCACGCTCAATAAACACAAATAATCAATCATCACATTTAAATGATAATCTGATAATACATATACATTCTTAATGCACATGCACGGAGGTTTTCAGGATTATCTGTTAACGTTTTCATGACAAAAATACTGTTTCAATGTGACAAAAAGCGATCGCAGTAAACCCAGAAATAACCATTAACATTAATACACACTTGCAGAGGATCTGATTATTGATTTAATAATAATAATAATGCATTGGTTTTATATAGCGCTTTTTTGGACACTCAGACGCTTTACATGTCATTATTCTTTCACTCTATACACGATGGTGATAAACGACTACAGTAGCCACAGCTGCCCTGGGGAACACTGACAGAAGCAAGGCAACCGGTATGTGCTATCGGCCCCTCCGGCGGCCACCACCAACTTTTCACACACACCAGACTCATTATAGGCAATGAGGGTGAAATGTCTTGCCTAAGGACACAGCGGCAGTTTGGCATTTTACAGCCACCCCACAGTGGCAACTGGTGTTGCCAGAGGTTAAAGCCCCGTCCACACGTAGCCGGGCATCTGCTAAACCACAGATATATTTCTTCGTTTGCACCTGTCATCCACATGACAACGCATCATAAACAAATATATAAAAAACCTCTGGGCAAAGTGGAGATTTTTGAAAACTCTGATTATCTCTGTCTACATGCAAATGCATAAACAGTTTTTTGCACATCAGAGTAGGCCTCCAAAACAACAACAAACAAAACGTGCGACCTCTGATCACTGAAGAAGCATGGATCTTACTGCCTTTAAAACTGTTCGCTGCTGCGAGCGGTTCGCATCCTCACTCCACATGAGAGAGCAGCAAAGTGATCACGGGGCCTCACGCTCTAAAACAACCAAAACAGGGGCTAAACCAGGATTAACCAGGGCTGAGGACAGAGGTCAGTGCTTGTAAACATATGTCTTTAACCTGAGTTTCTTCTGTGACTGTAAAAGTGCTGCTATAGAAGCACCGGCGTCAGCATCAAAGCTCTGCCCACTTCTGTGTTTTTCCCCAACGCAGGACGTCAGAGGACTGAGAACGCAGATGTTCAGTTATGTGTGGATGCAAATTATTTTATAAACGGAGGGGGGGAAATATTCGGTTTTAAAAATACCCGGCTACGTGTGGACATGGCATAAGTGTCTTCCCAAAGGAGTCGATGGAGGAAGTCTTGTGGTGGGCTCGAACCCACGACCTTCAGGCTCAAAGGCCAAAGCTCTACCAACTGAGCTACTGAGCTCAGGGCCAAGTGGATTCAAATTACTGAGCTTAAATTGTGGAAGCTAACAATTATTTTTTCTGTCTTCAAGCGACATTGTGGCCCTCAGGAGCATCTGACTCAAAACCCACTGACGCACTCACCTTCCTTAGCTTTAGTGCAGTTTAAATTTACACATTACAGTAACCTTAAACAGACTATAAGACTAAATGTGGCTTGTCCTATGAACAGAGTTAAGAATATTTATGCCAAGCTTCAATGTATTCCATTAAATTTTCTAAAACCACGATTACATAATTTTCTTCCTTTTCCCCTTGTGTCAATATTGGCAGGCCAAAGGAGAACTCCAGCCTCTTAAGTCACAGTTCATAGGTGTTTTATATACAACTGCTATAGTAGTGGAACGGTCTTGTGGTTAGGGGTGTGGTAGGAAAACCCAAGAATTCAGTAGTGTCTCAATACTGAATTCTTTCAGTATGAAAATAATTAAAAGTACGAGTTAAATTTTAAGTATCCAATTTGTGTACACAAATATTTTGAGAGCAAGGCAGTGCCCTAAGGTCTTCTTCAACATAGTTTTGCCGTCCCCAAGTCTACCAATAGCCTTTTCGGGGATTGCCACTTAAACAACAATGTTAGCTTTGAATGCAAAAGGATAGCTTCAGGTTAGTAACTTGCTGATGTGAGGCAATGTGACAATTCATGGATTATTTTAGAAATCACTAAGCAGAGTTCGCAATTAAATCTGATATAATTATGTTTTGTATATTGTATAATGAATGAGTGTGGACTGAAACTTGGTTGGGTCCTGCTCTACCAGCCGAGCCTGTCAGTGAACTCTGTCATGAGGCTAGCCCGACTACTCTAGCTCACCCGCGTCGCAAATTCACACCAACAGGGCAGCATTAGCATGTCTCACAAATGGATTAACAGCATAGATGCGTGGGGAATGAAATATAGAGGTGTTTTTGCATTTACTTACAGATTGTATCTCTCGTAGGCGGTCGCCATCTTCGCTCCGTCTACCTGACCTGGATGACGACAGCAGTGTGTGGCTTTAGATAAGTTGCCAGATCTGGATCGCAGCAGCGGTCTGGGTTTAATCGAATCTTAAGACTCCCAATCTGGCACTCAAGGGGAGTGCCAAAGTGGATTCGGCATTCGGATACGGTATTGTTATAAAATGTTTGCCAACTCTGTCTAATTAATATTTTTTTAAATATGATATTTTATATCATCCTATATATCAAATTGATATGCAATAAGTGTAAAGTGTTTTAATCTTAGAATGTTTCCTCTACAAAATAAAAGCAGAGGAAAATATTATTTCTAAACAGCAATAGCGAGACATAAATAATACAACAATAAGATAAATAAACAATAACTAACAAATAGCATTAACCAGAGACCAAACTCTACAAAAGAGTTAAACTAGTACATGGAATAGACCCATTCAATTTTTTTCATAGAATATTTTATATTTGGAAATTTAGATAACATTTTAATCATATTATATTTCAGACTATCAACTTAAATTGATTTATTTTTCAAGAATACCTTTAGTTTGTTTTTTAACAGGCAGTTGCTGTACTACCTAAGCAGCTGGTCTTTTGAAAGACCTCTATATAAACCCCAGTCACAGACTGCTCAGTCCTCTTCTCTGCGTAATACTTCAACAGCTACATCGTTGTGAGTGTTCGGCTATTCGTTCTGTTTACATTAGTATCAGAAATTGTGGTGGTAATAATTTGATATTCTGGCCTTGTTTGTACCTCTCAAATCTGTTTGTCTTTGCTCGAATAGCGTTACTTCTCATTTTTTGGTATCTGTGGTTGCGTGAACCACGCTTGCAACACGTGGTAGATATAGGCTGTGCTTCTAACAATGTCTCTTTCCAGATTATGAGTTCAAACGCTGCACAGCACTCGTGTTGTCTGAAAAATGGAGTCGGCTGACATCGATATCTATCTGGATCATGGTTACGCCGTGGAAGTCTCTTTGTTAAGAGTATGAGCACAATTTCCAGTTGTAACGGTGCGTGTTGTGTACTATACCCCTGCCCTTTTTTAGACTGTTTCTAACAAATCCTGACATGGATGGCTTTGTTATAGGTTGGTCGAACTTCAATGGCCAGATTATGGAAAACTGCCTCTAACATGAGTTGACGGTGAGTACAATTGCATATGCGGAATACGCTATAAACTCTACTGTGATGATTCAATAGACTAGAGTCTCTGATATTTTAATGAAGTTAAACTTCACAGCGCTCTGAGTAAACGGAATTTGATAATCGTATAAACTGTTAAAAATGGATCTTGTAATGGAACGTTTTTTCATTTCAGGTGAATTATCAAAGATGTGGATTCAAGAGGTAATTAAAACAAACATAAATCAATACTTTTGTCTTTGTGGGATGATGATTCATTTGACTAGAGTCTCTGAAATTTGATGAAGTTAAACTTCACAGCGCTCTGACCACATCTTGTGGTGGGGGGGAAAATCTTGTTTGGTAAAAGCTATCTAATTAAACTTTTCTCATCCTCCCCTAGAAGTCTTAGCAGAAACATGCGGCAAGGCCTTGGCATGGACATGCGTTGGACTTGGTAAGGACCTTTAGTCAACACATGTGGATTGGAAATTATGAAATGTCTTATGTGAACAGTTGGGTTTGAAATCACCCAGAGTTTGATGATGATTCAGTTTTCGGTTCGTCTGATAATCGCTGATGTTTACTCGCAGCGCACTGAGTACTCTGGTCTAACCCAATTTGTGCTTTGTGCAACCTTTATGAAATTCCTAATATTTGGATTTTATTTTGTGCTTTTAGGAACAAGCAAGATGCTACGGTGGATGTTTGATCACCTAAGGAAATGGAGAATTAATCTTGTCATAAATAAACTGTCTAAATTACCTGCCGTTTACTTGTGTATGAAATGTGTTGCTTCCCTTTGGCTATGCAAAGATTATTTGGTTAATTTGCCATGATATGGGACAAACTAGTCTACTTGTAACCTGGACGCTATGACACAGCCTTTGAGAGAACTTAATGACAACTTTTGGCGAGGCCTTATTCAATTAGTCCAGTGATTTAAAAGTAATTTAAGTGTTAACTCATTTTACAAGATTCTAGTCTCACTGACTTGGTTGATGGTAATTATTGTATAACTGACCAAAGACTCGACAGTTAACATTGTTGTAACCAGCACGTCTTATTTTAATGGAAAATGCATATAACTGAATGCCAAAATTAGCCTGGGCTATTTTCAATCTGTGTCCTGAAGGGAATAAACAACATTCCAGATAAAACCACCGTAGATCCATGAACATAAAGTAAAATGTATACAATCAAGTCTTCTGTTGAACTAAACTTAATAGAAAAACTTCAATACAGAAAATGGCACGAAGACGCAGGTATACCTTTGAAATTAATAGCCCCCACATTGACTGCGCTGGGAGTCCTGGTGACGAAAAATAACCGTTAAAATATCAGATCCGAGTACGCTGTTTTAATGAGCGTGCCTTTTATTCTGAAGGCCTGACCGCACGTCCTCCTCACGGCTTTCTCCTTCCATTGTTTAAAAAAACAAACGGGGAAGCACGGAGCAGAAGCTTACCTGAGCTTCCCCAATTTCTTCATATGCGTTTACACCGCCTTACACTAATAAAGCAAAGTTATATTGATATAAATGGACATGTTACTTCTACACGTCACACCTACAGTCTGGATATAGCTTTAAGTGATGACGGGACGGGCTAGCGCTAGCTTCATCCAAACTCGGGCTAACCGCGCTAAAGGTGAGTGTTCAACTGGCACAGCAGCTTCTGTCAACAGCCACAGGATAGACTAACACTGCACTTAATACGTCTTTAATTATCTTTATAAATATAGAAATGTTAATCATTGGAAATGGTTTTGTGTCACTCTTAACAAAATACACACATTATGGACTGCTCTAGCTAGGTTAGTCCATGGATCTATTACGGTTAGTCGTATTAACAATGGAATGTACTTCTGTCTTTTGTGAGCAGATATATGGAGATCAGCGTCATTTCTTCACACAAAGAAACTGACTTTTTTTGGATCAGCCTGTCAAGACATCATTGCCATTTTGCGAAGGGCATCCCAGCAATAGAAAGTGAAAAAACAGGATCTTCCAAGTAAACATGGACAGGAAAATTGTACGTGAAAATTAGATTTACATAAAATTTAAACGTTGCATTGTGGGCATTGCAAAAGAGGGGGTGCCCCCTAATCGCACAGCCACACCCACAAGTTTGTCCGCAGGCCAAAGACGCCTTATAACTCTCCTGAATCTTAAACAAGTACTTCCACTTTCCCAACGCCTGCCAGTAAATATCTGCATTTGTTATTTTCATTGAGCTTAGTCAGGTGAAACAAACAGAACTATTGACTTTGCTTGAAATCAGCCTGCGCAAACACTGCCATGACAGCTCTAGTGCGGAGAGCCTGGGGTTGGGTCCGGTCATGGGGCCATAAGCATGGGACTCCCTATGCCCCTGAGACTGTACTAGTCGAGGAAAAGAAGCCAAGCCCCAGCAGAGGATGGACGTCTTGGATGTGGAAAAGCGCAGAGAGCAGTCCCGTGGAGGAGTTCTGGGAGGCTCCGGAAAAGATCCAGCCCATGGAGGTGGAGGAGCTCAAAGCGGGGAAGCAGGAGGCTGAAGTCCAGATGGGGTAAGCCTCTCACTGATAAGGACTATAACTTCAATAATTCAAGATTAGATTACAGTTTACACACCCAGGCAGAAGTCTCGTGGTTTTGGCCATAATTTGGAGATGATGAATGATACCACACACTTCTTTCTCTACATTGTTCGTGGTTGGTTGTGTCCTTTATTGGCAAACAAACAGGTTTTACATTTTAAAATGATAATACAATGTAGCCGCTCTGGGGAGATTTCAGATGCAGTTAATGCAAGGCGGCCCATGAATTTACTGGAGGCTTTCTGTCAAGAAAGGTGGGCATCTTGCATACATCAGACGGATAAAGAACCTCATCCACAAAGAGCACACAAGACTCCAAACTGTCACAGATGTTAAAGGGCGACAGAGACTATTGAAACTATTGAAACTTACTATAAAAATAAAAAAAACATTTTTAAAAAATTGGTATCAATACTTAATATATGGCTACATTACGCGTCTCCATTCCATTTATCATGAAATAAAGTGTATTTTTTCTCTTATTCATGCCATAAATTGGCATATTGTATATTTCTGACCAATATTTCGATAATCGTGATATCGTTATCGTGAGCTTTGTATCGTATCGTATCGTGAGGTACCCTTAGGTTCCCACCCCTACACTCCATACACAGTGGTGATAAACTACTGCTGTAGACACAGCTGCCCTGGGGCACACTGACAGACGCGAGGAAACCAGTATGTGCCACCACCAACCATTCACACACACACACCAGACTCATTCTAGGCAATGAGGGTGACGTGTCTTGCCTAAGGACACAACGGCAGTTTGGCACTTTACAGGCACAGCCGCCCCACTGTTGCACCTGGTGTTCCCAGAGGTTAAGGCCCCGTCCCAAACCTGAGGGCCCTCCAGGTGTGAGTGCCCTCACCAGAAAAGTGCCTTCTCTAGGTGAGTGCACTCATAAGAAATGGGACACCCTTGGATCTAGGGGACAATATGCAAATGACGCAGCAAACGTGTTCCACGTTACACGCATTATCAATGTGTCTGATTTCACCACAGATAAGACTTTGTGAAACAAAGTATTTATTAAAATGAGACGTTTTTAATTCTAATTCATATGAAGATTTGCTATGATTAGGTACAGGACTGCTGTACATCATGCACTCATGGAGACAGATGCACACACTCAAAGGCCATTGCTCTACCAACTGAGCTACTGTCGCCCCAACTTAACCTCTGGGAACACCAGATGCCTCAGTGGGGCAGCTTTAAAGTGTCAAACTGCCGTTGTGCCCATTGCCTAGAATGAGTCTGGTGTGTGTGTGTGAATGGGGCCACCTGGCACATACTGGTTGACTTGCTTCTGTCAGTGTGCCCCAGGGCAGCTGTGGCTACAGTAGTAGTTTATGAGCACCGTGTATGGAGTGAATGAATAATGACATGTAATGCGTCTTTGAGTGTCCAAAAAAGCGCTATGTAAAACCGATGCATTATTCTTACTACAACGTTCTTCCCTCATCAAAAACAGACCTGGAATATTTGTTGAATTTAATTTACATTCTTAACAATAGACAATTTTTCTGCAATGAAACATGTAGGCGTCTATTGACCCTCAATTCTGCTAAGAACTTCAGTTTTCAGATTTCTGGTTAGCTCTTACACGGCTTACACAACTCCAGATCGCTAGTTTTCACATGCATGTGTTTTTGGCAACAGAAAAGTGAAAAAGGGACGAGAATCCTCACTAACCACCCACCAAAATCCAATCAGTGTTTAGCCTTCGATGAAGACTGCATGTTGGCCTGATTTGTTCACAAGTTTTTATTATTTATGTGTTAACATTTAGAAAAAAAAATGCCCCAGCTTTAGATATAATCAGAATGAATCAACATCTCACAAATACAAAATCCTTCTCCTTTATCCTGACAGGCTGAGGTGGTGGAACAAATGGCTTCCGACGTCCTACATCCATTGGCCGAAGACCGCATCGAGTGCCCCAGTGCAGAGGAAGCGGTTGGACTACGACATCTACAGGACCCCGCCACCGTCCCCGCCGCCACCCATCAGCTCTCCGTTTCGCCTCTTTGTCTCCAGCTGGAATTTGGAGATAGCCTCCGAACATTACGACATCTGCTTCAACTTCCTGCGTCACCTGTTTGACCTGTTTGTGGTAGGCTTCCTCTGGACCATCTCTACCCCCTCCAAGATGGTGCTGGAGATTCTGGGCGTTCAGGGAGCACTGAGGCTGTGGTTTCACGGGATGGCCATGTTCCTCGTGGCCACTGTGGGGATGGCAGGGCTGCTAGGCTTGATCCGGGAGTATCTGGCTCAGTTTACACTGGTGTTTGGGATCATACAGGCTCTTGTGATTTCTGTCAGTGTGAAGCAGAGTGTGATCCTGGGAGGAGTGGAAGATGAACACCAGCAGCAGCAGGAGGAGGTGAAGGAGAAGGAGAAGGCGGAGGTGAAAAAGGACACAAAAGAGAGCAGGGGAGGCATCAAAGCAATGTCTTCTAAAGAAAAGCTCAAGAAGATTAGCTAATGGTGGGTGAGTATTTCCGCATTGAGTAGAAGTTGTAAATAAAATAAGATTCTGTATGTAGTGTCAATATTGGAAATGTAATAATGTAATCACTGAGGACTTTCTAAACGTAGAATCTGCATGAAGGACAGAAGCAGGAGAGGCACAATTTCCCCTGGAAAAACCCCCTGGTTGCCTCCTCCTTACACACTGAGCGATGCAGACTGGCATGTCATTTTTTTAGAGCCTTAAACCTTATTATGAAAGTCAGAATTTGGTTTTGACTTGAGGCGTGCCAAATTATTCATATTGCCAATATATCACGATTTACTTCAGATTTGTCATTTCCACATATTGATATTTTAATTAACCTTAGTTATTAAAAAGAATGGGACTCTATAACCTCTAAAGTTTTGCACCTTAGGTGAGCTACCTTAGCATGTTATACCTCAAGATAGTTCTCTCAGGAAAACTGCATCCTTTATTTTACTCTGAAGATTGAACCCAAAACGCGATTGTCAGTAATTGCATTCAAAATAACTTATCATTTTGTTCAGACAAAGACAACTTATGATATGTAATATCATTGACCATTACATGAGCAATGCATTGATAATAGTATCACCATATTGTGATAATGTCCCGAGTTGTTGTCCTGTGTCACACACGGGTCCGCAGTGTGTAAACACCAAGATTGTTGTATTTATTTGGCCAATAGTGTATCAGAACAATTGTATTGAAGATTCTTTTCCTTTAGTATGGTGATCAAATCGAAACATTTGACAAAGGAGCTGCAATATACCCCTAAATAGTAGTGCCTATACTAAATGCTACCACCAAATTGTCTTAGCAATGCAGAACAAGTTTGCTTCGGACCGGGAATGAGGACCTAGGTTATGTATTTCACAGCAGTAATAAGTTCTCCAGGCATAGTGACAGGTCTATTTCTATGTCATGGTAGGTGAGTATATTGGACTACCTCAAAATATTGGCAATATGAAATCGAAAACACAAACTGAAGTAATTTTTCAAACCAGAAAGTGCACTGTATTCATGGATAATTAAATGCTGATTTAATTTCTTCTCAACATAACACCAATCCAAGTGTGTATTTTAGAACCGTGCAAAGTGTTTTGTTTTTATTGCGTAACCACAGCAAACCCAGCGTGACCCTCTCCTTGAGCTGTGAAACCAATCCAACCACACCAGGACAGAAGCATTCATTCAGTCCAATCACCTCAGGCTCAAAGGTCACACCTCTTAACATCTCGTTTAGATTAAAAAATTTTAGTTGAATTTGTCTTCTCTGCTCCCTTCCCCATGTCGCATAAGCACCATGAATACAAAGGCAGTTTGCAGTATAACAACAGCAGATGAAAAGGTTCGTGGTCAACAGGGGGTGAATACTTTTGCCTTGCATATATTTTATATATATATATATATATATATATATATAGCGAATATTTATTTTTAAACAAGCCTATTGAGGCTTCCAAACAGTCTTCCTGGCCGAGTTCCATGCTGACCTGTCGTAAAAACAAGGCGAAAGACTGGCGGTTTCTGAATATTTATAGGCGTGACTTTCATTAATACGCTAGTTTTCACCGCGGCATTTACTAACAGCCGCGTATGCGTACGCTCAGATCTGGGCGCATCTCACACCTTCATAAATCCGGCGTTGGGTCTTGCGTATATGGAATCTACACCAAAAATATACACCCTTTTCTGCGCAAGTTTCATAAATGAGGGCTCTCCACTGCAGAGTAGAACCACTCGGCGACGTCATATGAGTTTCGATTGTTGCATAAGCGAAACTCATTACGCCAAACCCGTTATTACCATAGATCCATGCGCCAAACCCATTTGTTTATTTTACGTTCGTGACCACTCCGGTTGTTGTGGTCTTTGAGGTTTTTTTTTATAGTCCTGCTTAAGTTTTTAAAAACTTTTCACAGCTTGTTTTGGAGTGTGATGAATCCCCAGTGCTTTGAGATGAAGCTGGTATCTCTAAATATCTTTTCTTTTCGCCGCAATGCATCAAATGCCGTCTGAAATACCGTGCTGTTGTTCGCTGCTCCAGTGGTGTCTGCTAGGCTAATGCTGCTAGGCTTATGCTGCTAGGCTTATGCTGCTAATGCCAGTTGTTTTGGTGCTTTCTGCTGGTGTCAGAGCCTGTGCTAGCTTTAGCCAATCAGCACCGGGTTAACCTCAAGTCCCACTTGGGCCCAACTGAGTACATACCATGGAGGAGGGACTCCGTTGGGCCCCGTAAAAGTTCCTGTAAATGGCCGTGTGGGGAAAGTTCCTGCAGTGGAGACACGCACCGACGGGGCTGGCCCAAGCCCCGGCGATCCAAGATGGCGCCTATTCAAATGAATGGTTGTGCTCAGTGGCGCTTTGTGACGGCATGGGGGCTGAAAGATTAGCAGAAGTTGCCTGGAACTCGCAAAGATCTATGGGAAACTCGCCTGTATTTGGGCATCGTCTGAGTTAGAGCTGGAGCCAGACGAGCAGAGTTTGTGGCACTAAAGTGTGGATTTAAAGAAAACCGAAGGATTTAAGAAGAAAAAAAGTTCAGGATGACAAGGGACACTAAAATCCCCACAAAATCCGATCTTTATTAAAGCTGTAGGTTCTCTGTCAGCTGAGGTCGCGCTGTTTTAATTTACATTGAGTTCTATGGGGAAAATTTCCTGGTAGCCCGCGTGAATTTAGTCTGGTTTAGTCTGCAGTACCGCGAGAATCCCCCGAGCACATGAGTTCTTCAGCTACAAGCTAGTAATACCCTATCCAGTTATTATAATAGATCCATGGGCTGGCCCTGGAAAATTACCACAAAGGGCTTCCAAGTAACAAAAGATTTCTGTTGTGATGGTGATATTTTATGTCTGAGCTTTTCCAATGGTAACAAAGAAAGACGTCCTTTAACCACTGAGAAAAGGATGGGGCCCCGTTGGATTTCCAATATAATAATATTAATCGACGAGCGAATAAAGTTGAAAACTTTTATTCCAAAAATAGCGATTCTAAAATCAGGAGCCAGCTCTTGACCACAAACACGGGATGACTCCATCAAGTTTTAACGGGGATAGGATGCTCGTTTGTCAAGAGAAACGAGTCAGCAGTGCGAGAAAACGCCTCATCACTAAATCTATTGTTTTGCTCCATCCGCTGTTGAGTGTTCCATAACAGCATGTAACATGTGACTTATATCCAAGTGGGCAACAATTACAATAGAGAAGTTTAAAATGTAACTGTTGCAGTTTATATACAGGTGTGCATAATAGTCAAGCAAGCAATTGATCTATAACATTTATTAATAAGGCCCAAATTATAAAATTTAAATTAAAACAGTTTAAATACATATGAAACGCTAATTTAGTCGAATCTTATGCACAGCTGAGATTGTTTTCGATCTGGACTAAATCATTGCCTTGGACGTGGCCTGTCCTCTGAGTCCCAGCAGGAGGCCAGTCCCTGTGATTCCATTGTTATTTGAGTTTCACCAACCATAATAATAAACTATCCAGATTATACAGTGCCTTGCAAAAGTATATGAACCTTTCAACATTTCGCCACATTTCAGGCTTCAAACATAAAGATATAAAAATTAAATTTTTTGTCAAGAATCAACAATGAGTGGGACACAATCGGGAAGTGGAACGAAATTTATTGGATAATTTAAACTTTTTTAACAAATAAAAAACTGAAAAGTACACTGTACATTAGTAACTGTTTTCAATAGTACTGGGTCATTTTGTTGATTTTTGTTTTTGTCTTTCCCTTAGGATAGGAGTCTTTCCCTCTGCTGGACCAGGGATCATTTATCCGCTCCATCACAACATCCAGACTAAACTATTTTGCACAAAGACTATTTTGTTGCGTCTGAAGACATTGTTGCATGATATTCATATTGTCCCCGGACACCACACACCAGGCACTATTCTTTCCAACTGTGTCTAACCAGATGTTATATGGGTCTATTTTTCTTAAGATATTTGAATGTTCCCGGCCTGAATGGACTAGTGATTGTTTATATATCATATTCGGTCTTGCTTTAAACTTGTTGATTTGGTCTATTGTTTATATCTGGCGAGGCTGTTTTTAATCCATATTTCACAAACCATAGTACTGCATTGATAGTCATATATGAACAAGACTGGTCTGTAGAATCCCATTGATCAGTGGAAAAAAATATTTTACTACACACAAGTTTTTTGTTTTTTTTTAACGCTATACATTTCTTAAGTTAAAGTGTAAGCATCCATCCATTCATCCATGGAGCTCTACATAATTGTCACCTTCATCTGGAATAATTGTTCTAAACTGTTTGTGTGACAAATGGAATTTGTTAACAATTACATTTTCTATCACCTTACATAACACTGAGAAGTTTTCTATACTTAAACATCTTGCAATGTACTTGTACCACTAAAGACAAAAATGAGACGGATCTCCGGCTTTTGTTCCGGAGTTCAGCTTGACTTTACAGTGTACATATTCTTCTAAAGGGGCTGTTGACGACACTCGAGAATTGTTTAGGCTTGCAAATGTTGCGTTAACTCCATGACGATACAATGTTCACATGCTCTTTCTGCAGCTGTGTGGCCTCAATGTCTTTGTGAAAGTGCAGTTTCAGATTAAAGTTTTGCCTTTTGATGATTTTCATGTGCCATATTTCATGGTTTACGCCCAGTAATGTACTATTGTTTGACACTAACAAAGGCACAACGTTGGACTACTGACAAATTTGACCCAATGCTTCAATCAATTTGTCCAGCTCACATTTGCAGAGTTGATATTCTCTGTAGCATGCGGGAGATTTGTACCTTGAATATGGAGGTCTATGGCTGACAGTGACATGTTCATCACTTGTGCCAGTTCTTCTGATGCAATGAAGCTTTGTGCTTTTAAAATAAATATTGGATCAATGAAATTCAATTTGAGCAATATAAATTGTTGGGCATTTGCCATAGAGTGATGTAATGTAATTACATTGGAATTATTCTGCCTTTTCCTCT